ATTATATATTATATATTATATATTATATATTATATATTATATATTATACATTATACATTATACGTTATACATTATACATTATACATTATATATTATATATTATATATTATACATTATATATTACATATTATATCATATAATTATAATATAGTATTATGTAAACGGTATTCATACCGCACACAGATCTAACATATTCCAATCTCAAGCATATCAGTGAAGTTAATTTGGATACAAATAAATCATGCTGTTCGCAAGTGATTGAGAATAAAACATAAAAATTAAATCTTATGTAAATTCACTTGAACTTACCGAAAATCACTCTCCAACTTTACAGAAAATGAAAAGCGTACTATTGTCGAGTTGTACGATTTGCCTCCACTTACAAGATATGGAAAATCAGCAAGGTAATGTTTTTTTTGGGAATGCTTATCTATTACGTATTCTGACATAAAATTGTAATACAGTTTTGAATCAAACTGAAACGTCTTCATTCTGCTCTTTGTTGTAATCATGAAAGTATTGTGGAAAAGATTTCAAAAAACATTTTTATCAGAATTATTCTGTTCGAGTTTTTAATTATTGAACTTAAATGGTGAGAACTTCTAGTGTTGTTTCATGTTTGGCGAAACTTGATCAATGCTTTACAAGTGATAAGCTTGCAGACAATCAAAGTTGGAAGAATCGCTTGTGCTTCCACTGCATTTAGAAGAACCACTTGTAGCTGCTGACCTTTCTGCACCTTCTGAAAGCGATCGACCAAAAGGTGACTTATTTTGTGAAGATCTATATTTCAGAAACCATCCAAAAATTATTCACCACATCTGTTTACTCACTTTAGAGCTTAATTTATTTCATGCTTCATTTATCACCTACTCACGTCAAAAACGTAACTTTTTTTAGAATAAATCATGCATTTGGAATTCATTTTTAACCTCGGGTGGTAAGTTCCTTATGATACTTTGCTACTAATGTTTGAATGCATTTTAGTTTCAGTAGTCTCATTTACAACTCCAACTGGATTCCGACGTGATTCTAGTGATAATGATGACTTTGTAGATCGTATTACAGCACGACATCACTACGTATGAAATTATTCACACATAAAATATGACAAAGTAAATATGATACAGTACTTCCACCAGATAACTGTATTTTATTTGTCATAATGTGTACATATTGTTTAGTTTGAAATAATAGGAGTAAGACAGTGAATTATCGTTTCTGAGTTTCAAGTATAACGATTCATTTTTATGAATCCTTAACATAAGTTAAAGTATTAATTTCTCGTTGATTAGATGCAAAATCGAAATTTGCAGCTTTGCTCATTTTACCCATTAAATCATCTGCAAAACGACGTTGTGATAGCGACTGCTCTGCAAGTTTCGTTTTTTCTCTGTATGAAAGAAAGCGTCGATGCACCTGCAAAGGTAGCGAAAATCCATACCAAAAATGAATCTGACTTAGACATTTATTGCTAGCATTGATTCTGAGTAACTTGTCGGGGTCTCAATCTAAACTAACAGTTGTTTGCTGAAGATTAATGTGCTGGAAATTAAACATCTGCCTCGAAGTAAAATTTTCGAAGGAGAAAACTTCAACACATTACATGAAAGTATTTCTTGAGTCAATTTTTTGCTGTATTTTGTAGTTAGTTTGTTTCACTAACTTTTTTGGTTCTAAGCTGGACTGTAAATATAATTCTAGTGCAATAAAAGCAGGAAATAATGAGAATATGTAAAACTTCCAAAAGTATTTGTATTTGAGAGAAGTTTTACGGTTCATTTAATATGATGTACAAAATTGACCGCATGCTATATTAAAGGCACCGTGAAATTTGCAGCAAATACAAAATTGATTACGTGCATGATTTAAAGAGTTGCTGAAAGTAAATATGTTTTTTGATTTTATAATTTAGTTTTGTAATTTTTACTTGTTTTCGTTGAAAAAATTCAAGAAGAAATGAGCAACAGGACAATTTCTGACTTTCAAAATAATATATCCGTAAGTGCAGGCATTGATCATCAGCGCCATAAATGCCAAAGTAGTGGATGAGATAGCGATAACAAACATGTATTCGTACTTACTTGTTGTCTCATACAGCGGAGGGTGGAATCCAAAGTCCTGAACCAATTAAAGCAGAACATTTTAATCTACTTGTTTTGTTTGTAATACACTCTCAACTTAATTACGTTACCTTGTTAGTCACTTTAAGAATACGAAAGTTTCTTTCAGCAGCAAAAAAGACCTAGAATAAGCAGTGGTTCTGTAGACTAATAGAGAAAATACTATAAAGAAAAAAATAGAGGTGGGAATTCTCCAGATCGCACTCTTCCCTATCGGTACGTGTAAGGACCCATTGAGCAGTAAAACTCAACATGAGGTATCCAAAGGTGACGGTCCTCACCGATGGAAATATGTCAACTATTAATAATTTAGAGCACTTCATAAATGATCAAAACTGAATTATATAATTATTTTGCTTGTCCACTGAAGCTTCTGTTTGCAGTTCTCTGAATGTTTTCAGAAGAGGCAAGGCCAATTACAAGAGAGAAAGAAAAAATTTTTTGGGATATCCACAATATTCAGACAGAAATGACTAAAGTCCACCACACTTCCAAGTAAATATTGAAACTAACCATTTCATACGACCGCACTGCAACAAGACCGACTGCATAAATGTGTACAACAAATCAGGCCATGATAACTTATACCTTTGCGCCGCTCTCTTCTCGAAAATTTCCAGTGCTGGGAGATACAGAGCGTGCACTTCCTTATTGACAGCAACACCCAAAATCTGCGAACCCTGTCATAATTATGGAGAAGTGAAACTCTGACTGTTTGCAAGCACTAAATAACTTAAATTTTATCAAGTCAGAGCAGCATTTGTTCTAACATATTGCATAGAAGCATTTGATCAGAAGTGGGATAAAAGTTTTCAAAGCAGAAAGAAGAAAAGATTTCAAGGTACTGATTTAGCAGTTCTTCCCTGCCAATCCCAGTTAGCAAACTGGTCATTTCCTTTCTCACGTGAATTTCATTGACACCGAATTCATTGCCTAACTGCATAAGGTAGGGCTTAGCCAGCTTTATAGTTGTAAACGAAAAGGTTTGGCTATATCAGGCTATATCATAGATCAACCACTCGAGACGAAGATTTCATTTCGAGACAGATAGAAGAATATAATACTATCTTGCTCATTGGAATCTCGTGCAAAAATGGCCTGAAGGCAGAGGTTCTGGTCTTTTGTAGGTTTGTATGATTGCTTTATTTCATTTAATGGTCGGTACATTTCAAAGCTGTGATATTTGTATATTTCGATAAATGAAATTAAGATATTTCTGGATGAGATTTAGTTCATTGTTATCTTCTTTGTCAAGTACAAGTTCTGTGTAATAATGCCTAAACATACCGTGTAGAAGTTAACAGCGATTGACTCTCTTTGCTTTCTTTACGTGTTCCGAGCTTAAGTTAATTCGTTGTCTTCTTCACGTATTTCTTTTAAGCAAAATCTTGATTTTTTCGACATTCAATATGCCAGCTCTTTACAACTTCAAAAAGATAACAGTAGTCCCATCAGCTGCGGTGAGTAATTGGTTACCTTTTTTAATACTCTTCTGTATAGTGTTATGTAACTAATTAATTGTCAGTAAAGTTTTATCAGCATACTAAATTACAATTTTACACGTTTTTTCAGGATTTGAAAGAAATCGTTCTCTCTAAAACACAGAGAAAAACACCTACTGTAGTTCATAGGCATTTTGCGATCAGCCGTATCCGCTCATTTTATGCACGAAAGATCAAGTTTTTGCAACAAGTTTTGCATGACAAATTAACTCAAATCATTGACGAATTTCCAAAGATGGAGGCAAACTTTTTTTTCTTGAAAATTTCACGTTTTCGATTTCTTCTAGCAATATTTTTTGACATCCAAAATCTTTGCTTTAAAATCAAAGCTTGTTCTTTTTTCTATCTTTTGTCTTTGTGAATTAATACTGATTATTTTTGAACTAAAATCATCAAATATTTAGGAAGTCCATCCTTTTTACGCTGATCTTATGAATATTTTATACGACAAAGATCATTATAAAATTGCTTTGGGACAAGTTAACACTGCTCGTCACTTAATTGATGGGTTTGTTTTCTCTTTGTAACTGTAATTTTTAGTGATATAGTTTTCATCTAATAGGTTTTTAATTTCAGATATAAATTTAAAAGGGAATTTTCAGCATTGCTCGAGAATATGTACGCTTAATGAAATATGGAGATTCTTTATATCGATGTAAAATGCTTAAGCGAGCAGCCCTAGGACGAATGGTAAAGTTGCTCAGACGCCAGAAGTCGAGTTTCAATTATTTAGAGCAAGTGAGGCAGCATCTCTCGCGATTACCAACAATTGATCCAAATACAAGGTATAGGAATTAATAATGTTTTTTATCACTTTTATCTAACTTTTATTAAGATAAAGTATAAAACACATTCAATGCCTTTTACCTGGCAATTAAAACCAAGATAAGGTATGATTTAATCTGAAGTGAAAATTTTAGGACTTTAATTTTGTGTGGTTTTCCAAATGTCGGAAAATCATCTTTGATGAATTTATTAACTCGTGCTGATGTTGAGGTGCAGCCTTATGCATTCACTACTAAAGCTCTTTATGTTGGACATTTTGATTATAAATATCTACGTTGGCAAGTAAGTGAAATAATAACTTATAGTTCTCTAAACTTTTGTGAATTGTGGATTCTTGTTGTACTTTATGTTGAAAAGTTTTTTTTTTTCAATTAAAATTTGTTATTAGTAACAGTGAACTGTAAAATGCCACCAACAATATGATAAAAAGTTTCTAAGATTTAACTTTTATATAGGTCTTCGAGCATTAATTTACATCTATGCAATGTTTATCAATCGTAGGTCATCGATACGCCTGGAATTTTGGACCAACCTTTAGAAGAACGAAATACAATCGAAATGCAAGCAATCACTGCATTAGCTCATTTGCGAGCTGCAGTTCTGTTTATGATGGATATTAGTGAAACTTGCGATCATTCAATTGAAGAGCAAGTTAGGAATTATTATTTCTGCTTTGTTTTGAACCCGTTAATTTGAATCAAATAGTGAGCAAATAATTCTTCTAGGTCGCATTATTCGAGAGTATTCGTCCATTATTTGTGAACAAACCAGTATTAGTTGGTATGAATAAAGTGGATATAGTAGAACGAAATCAACTATTGCCAGAAAAAATAGAGCACTTAAAAAAATTAGATGACAATGCTATACCAGTGTTTGAGCTCAGCACTATTACACAAATAGGTGTAATGGATTTCAGAAACATGGTTAATTTTCTTCTGTATTCTATTTTTAAAGTTAGCGCCAGAGTTATAATATTCAAAAATCCATATTTTTTTGTTCCTAAATTTTCCAAACTTTATGTGACATCAGCTGAGAGAAAAACCTGTCGAATATAAATATTCAATCGCTTTGCATAATTCAGTTTATACATCGTATTATATCTTGATTATGAGCTTGTTTGAAATCATTAAGCTTCTTCATTTTATTCGATTTCAGAAAACATGTATAAATATTTAGGCATGTGATAACCTTTTAACACAACGTGTTGAAACTAAACTGCAGTCAAGGAAATTAACACTCGAAGGTGGCATACTTAGTCGGGTCTTTGTTGCCTACCCTACCACAAGAGATGACAAAGTAAGATTTTAGAAAGGTTTTTGGTGAAGTAATATACACATTTAAATCGTGACCATTATGCATGGAATAAATTGCAGGTGCGTTTACCGTCTATACCGGAAGCAGTTCTGAAGAAAAAACATCTTAAGATTAATAGACTCAATACAGATGAATTGGGTCGAATACGGAAGCTAGAGCGCGAAATCGAATTGGAAATGCAGGACGAGTATTTACTTGATTTAAAAAGTTATTCTTGCCTATTCCAAACTTTTTCAGTTTATAATTTACTTTTTGGTACATGCAGTTGGTGGTTCTAAGTTCAAATATAAGCTTTTTTTGAATTTAGTGAGTTTTCATGTTTCAGCAGTTCTGTAATTTTCATGTCATGTGAAACTAAAGTTTTAAAGTAAATTTCAGTAGAAAGTTCATATATATTTTACTTTTTTCCAGAAAATTATTTGTTGAAAAATGAAGAAGAAAAATATGATGTAGTCCCTGAAATATGGGAAGGACATAATATTGCCGACTTCATTGCATCGGACATCATGGAAAAGCTGAATTCAGTCAAAAATGAAGAAGAGGCAAGAATTCAAGCTGGGTAGGGTTTATTTTATTCTGAATGTCCCAAGTTTGTTTAAATAAAATTTCGCTAAAGGCTATAGAGACCGTACCATATACCTCTGAGCTGATGGCTACGTTTCAGATTTTATGACAAGAATTCTGTTGAGGAAGATGAAGAAACAAGAAAATTACTTAACGATGCCATGAAAATTGATGAGAAAGAAAAGCTGCTCAAAATGGTGAGATTGTTAACAAGAAATCTTTTGCAGACCTTATGTCTAATTACATTTCTGTTTTGTTTATATTTATTAACTGTATTAAAGGCTTCGCAAGCTAAGAAGGGTATAACCAAACCACGTTTGGGTCGATCTTTGACCAGAAAGCGTGAGAGAACTATGATACGTTTAGAGGAACAATTTCGTGAACTCGGTGCTGATGTAGCTAGCACTCAGTTCAAGAACCTCGCTCAAGAACAGCTGAGGGAACCCAGTGCAAAGAAGTTACGCGTGGGAAAGAGCCCTAGTTTAAGTGCTCGTCGACCTCCTAGTCGTGATATTCAAGGCATATCAAACAACGTGGTAAGTATTTGTCCCTGTTATGTTTATTCGAGTTTGTTTTACGATGATTCTTTTGAATAACCGCCCTATTCTACTTGAGAGTCGTTACTGTACAATTCATAAGACTTCATATCAGATACTTGAAAAGACTAAGAAAATTGGGCGCAAGAAGCAAAGGGGTCAACAACGTGAAGCAAGGAAAGGAGAAGCTGACAGACATATTTTTGTGAAACGCCCAAAACATCTGTTTTCTGGAAAACGTGGACTCGGAAAAACAGACAGACGTTAAAAACTATGCAGCATTGCCAATACTGTCCTGAATTTATGAAGATCCATTGGTTCATTACTAACTGTTTTTTTGTTACTTGTTGCTGTTTTTGTTTTCGTAGTCTCGTCACTCTTATTCCTTGTATTGAAATTAAGTTCTGAAAAATGTTTGGATTTAAGGGCGTGTGTTAAACAATATTTTGTTTGGTCTTTTACCCATATTGCGAATATCTTGCAGTTAAGATAGTTTATCGACTTTGCATTCTGTCTTCGCTATTTTTGAGACTTCAGGACATCGTTAGTGATAACTTGGAAATGATAGCACATAGAAAATTTAGAAGTCTGCATGTCCGATTATCTGCTTTCTTCGGTTTGATGTTCACGATATATTCAGTTGCGTTTGCAACATTATGGTATTAATCTGGATCTTTTCAATCAGTCTTTTGACAAAATGTGGGTGCATATTTATGCCATATGTTTGCGATTTGAGCTTACTGGGTTTGAAATCCAATGATTTGACTTTCAAATTCATGTAACAACGTTAAAATTTAATTTTGACGTTCTTACTGGAAGGCACAATAAAGTTAGCATCATAATAAAAATGGAGTTGAGAATGGTATTTGTATTTAGAGTGCCATTTCTTCTGAAGAACCTGGATATAAAACTTTTTGCATTAAAATAGGAAATAGACAGTAGAAACGGTTTGAGCACATATGACCTGTGAGAGTTGAGAGATTGTGAAAAATAAGTAATGATGATCTAAACTGAAATGAAGCAAACATTCATGATAAATTAGAGTCAGCAGTCATTTTCCGATTAACTCCTGACTAATTTTGTAATAAACATATCCCATTTGCATACGACAGTCTTCAACCATGCTATCAACATCAGGATATGAAGAAGGATACATTGGCGGAAGTACTTCTATTATCACTCGACCACCGTAATTAAATATATGCTCATCCTGCAGTTAATTTCAAACTTTTGCAACAAAACGAAGAAGGTGCTCTTAATAAACCTTTTTCCAAGTTCCAGCAAAATTTCTGCATTAACTGCATAGCCTTCTTCCTGACTACGACTACGAGGCAAGCTACTAGAACTAGTATTTTTCATCATAACTTTGACATTGGGACAATTCATAATAGCTCACGGAAAATTTGTTATGACAATGAGATGAAAAACTACAGTCCTCAAAACATCACTGGACAACAACTCACTTTTTTATAAAATGATTGGTACGACGAAAATACTATTGGCACGATCGGAACCTGTAATGCATCCAATTGAGTGTCATTGTTTTAAAGGTTTCAACATGTTTCAAACATATTTTGATTGTGTAGTAAGCAAATCCATTTTTGGTTCTCGTTTTGGATATACTCAAAAGCCATAATTTCTTTGCATTTCTCAATACATTTTGTTCATTTCAAAATACAATACTCATTTCTTTAAAGATCAACTTTCTTTATCTTTCCAATATTACTGGAAAATTGAGGGAAAAGAGCGACAACATGTGAGACAGAGACTGAACAAAAGAATGAAGTTATTAACAATTATTAACAAAAGAAGCTGATAACCAAATGGTAATTGAATTACTCCTTTAAAAATTACATTTCTAATTTGATATTTAAAAGCAAACCTGAGCTTCACGTGCAATAACGAAAGCACCTTTTTTGAATGGTAGCAGTGTACCACTTGAATTCCGTGTTCCTTCCGGGAAAATCCATATTTTTCGCTAAACATTTAAAAAATTGATTAGAAAAAATATAATTCTTCAAAATTACCTCACTTTGATTTTGGTTTCAAGTTATATTAACCGATAGTGTAAAGTATCTGTGGTTGCTGCAGACACCATTTTTTGATGAACACAGAAAAGTTGATCAAGAATTAGGCAAATATGGGAAATGTAGAACTGTTAAATAATGACGGAATCCTAATCATTATTAACATCTTTTACGCTTATGAGCTTATTTCTTATTTTGTCAAAGAAACGTTTAATAAAAAATTTACTTGATTCTGAATAGCTGCTACTGATTTTTCAATCGACTTGTGTGCGTTCTCCTTACTAAACCTATTTACGAAAATAGCTTCACAAAGATATGCGCAAATATTAAAACCCGGCATATATTTTAAACTGCTTTTTAACAAAACAATGCAGTTTTCAGGCCACACATGTGTTAAACCTAAAAGAATAACTTTTTTAAATCTACTTTTAATCAATCAGGACCAGCTCTGTAAGATTCATGAAATAAAAATTCTATTAAACCATAATCCTTTTTGTTACATAAATAGCAAAATTGTTTTTGTAATTTCTTCATGTTCACTCACTGCACTCTATAGCAGTCAGAATTTGGATTTTTCACCAATATCTAACATTACAAGTTAGTCTTTAAAACATTGGATAGCGACAAGTAATGAGTAACACACTGAGAACATCAAGAGAACTTTGATGATTTGCAACGATAACGAACGGTTCATTGTGCTCAATATATTTTCGATTGCGAATTTCAAAAGATATACCACACCAAATTGTCAAAAATTGGAAAATTCGAAATGTGTGCCTGCAAACTGGTTACTACAGCCAACTTCTAATAATGTTAAGATGTTTATTAACCACTAAGAAGTAAGAAGACGCCTGAAAAAATTGGAGTCCTTGTAGATAAACTACAAATTTTTATCCCTACTTTTACAGTGAACTAAGTATGCAAATAATAGCATCAGCCTTTCTAATTATCACCAACAAAAGATGAGGTGAAAGAAAACATATATTACTGAAGTCAGCACTGCATTACATAATTTGACGAAGTGAAGTTATTGTGGAGAGAATTACTATTTACTAACTCACTCCACAAAAACTATTCACCTCTTTCGTTTCATAAAAGCAAAACAGTCCGAGAGGTGTAATAGCTTTCTTTTAAGAAACGTTAATAGTGGAGTGCAAACTTTTGGCGAAGAGAAAAAACTGGACAAGAAGAAATATAAAGCATATATCAACATACCAATGGTTTTTTGGTGTCCTTCCTTTCACTACTGATATAAATGCCCCAAAAGTCCCAGCTAATATCAGACAAACTTTATAAAAAAATCGCTTGAAATAATACCTTGATTTGGGATAAGCAACATAAACTAAGACACAAGTTATGAGTACAATTACCGAAATATTGAAAACATTCATGTCTTCTATCAATGGATGCAACATAATTCGCTATTAGTCCTGCAAATTAATTCGATCACAAATGAATACAGCAAGCGAGGTAATTCATGAAAATGAATCTTTCTTTTAGCAATAAATAAAAAAGCCAAATGCTTAAAACTAACGTTCTTAAATCTATCTGTGATGAAAACCATTTCTTTGAAGAAATCTAATTACAAATCACAAACTTCGAACCATATAATGAACAACCTCACAAACAAAAACAATTATCGTGATACACCTAGGAATAACACGAATATTATATCACTAATTTGGTAGCGGAATGCAAATAATCCAATGCTTAATACGCTTGGTTCTTTTTCAAACTTTGTTTGCAAAGGATTGCTGGAAACGTACTCGTAGGTTTTCAAAGTTTGAGGTTCTTAACGGGAAAGGGAAAGCAAGACTTACTACATTTAAAAAATCCGAAGAACGAATCATAAGGCAAATTTAGTTGAAAACATAAAGAGTTGAAAAAGTAATTTGGTTCGATGTAAAGACATTATTTTGATTTCGAAAAACTGTTAAATCTGAAATTCCTTAAAGTACTCGCTGATTTTCAGTTTCGCGCTTTGCTTTTGCATGTGTAAGAGTTTTAGAGATTTCTATTTCATACTAGTCACTGTCTAACAGTTTATGTGTATTTATTATAAGCATTGATCTTCAAATTCATTATAATTAAATTGATACTGAAATAACTTTTGCTAGTAGTGTGGAAGACCGCATCACTTATTCGACTGGCAATATTTGTTTTATCAAGTTTGCAAGGCAATTTAAGTTTGCCTCCACAAAAGCAAGCAATTTGATAATTTTTCCGTTGGCATAACTGAGCCAGAAAACAATATTACAATTTATTAGTTTGATTTTATGCTGGCTCTTTCCTCCTGCCGTTCTTTTTTGTAGCCAGTTTGTTCAATAATGAAAGTCAAACGAATCTCACAATAAATCTGAATTTGCCCTTGTCTTTGTTCTGAAAATTTCATACAAAGTGATAAGGCCAATCGGTGAATGCAAAAGAAATACGTTTTGTCAAAAAAATTGGTGGTGGCTCAAGAAATTAGCAAAGTCAAACTTTCCGCTGGATACAAACTTTCCTCATTGCTTTGAAATTAGCACATAAATGCAATTTCAATGTGCTTGCAAAACGGGAAATAATGAAATGCTTCTTGTTGCTCAGTTGCACATGATGACTGCCTACATTTATTTTTGAAATTTTTTTGCGCTGTTGCTGCAGCAACATGAAAATTTGGTTAGCATTAAAATTGATCAACAAACTTCGGTCTGACGATAAACAATTACAATAAGATTCGATTCTAACTCTAATAATTCTGATTTCAGTGAAGTGCTTCTTAGATCATTTGGTAATCCTCCATTTCCGTAATCGTGAAGCAGCAGTCTGTCCGTTCTTATCAGTGAAGGAAAATGAATGGAATCCTTTTGGAAAGAGCTTTACAAAATATGCCACTAACTAAGAACTTGTTGCGTTACTTGCAAAATGATCAGCTTCACAAACATTTACCGAATGTGAAATGCTGCTAGAAATCTCAATCTTACCGAGAGATGAAACAAAAATTCCATAATGTTTCAAAAAGCCACTTTGTAAGTTGTTGAAGATGTTATAAGTTGAATGCAAACTGCAAATTAAGACTTTTTTTTTAGATCTGTACTTGAAAAAACAGAATTTATATTTTGCAGTAATGATAATTTACACGCTCACATTTGTCTATATATGTATTATTCAAAAGACATATTATAACAGAAGTACTAAAATTGTTGCCAACATTTGCACTACATTTGTGCAGTAAGATTTATTAATGCAAATTTTAAAATGATGCGCTCGAAATTTGCATTAATAAATCGTTCAAGAAGAAGTATAATCGATCGAGAAATTGCCTTCAAACAACCTAAATGCTTCTCAACTATTTCATTTCAGTGTCTTCTGGCATTAACAAAAACTTCCAAAGCAATCCATATATCTTCTAATTCCTACATCGATTTCGCTGTGTTACTTAGCAGCTAAAATTTATTATCGAACAGACATTCGTTCAATTTTCAGCACAAAAGACTGCTCCAAATGGCAGAACAAAACTAATCTGTTAATAATTCAAAATGGTAGCCATTTCATTTTCCAGAGAAGATACAGTTAAAATGCCATACTAATTTAACAATGCCTCTTCTCACTTTCCAAAAACATTTTTTTAGCATTTCATATTTGAACTTCAACACTTTTATTTATTTCAACAAGTATCAGTTGAAGTTATTTTCCTTGCAAACTGATAAAATTAGACGTCATTTACTACCAAAATATTTCGCTTTCAGACTTATAAAATTTACGAATTTTAGTTGTAATAAATTCTGACGTTAGCAAAATTTACAAAACCACTACAAATTTATATTGGTAAAGCCTGCTAAAATTAAGTGATCATAGGAATAAGTGACCTGAAAGCCAAACGTGTTTTTGTTTTGATTTCAGCAGTCAGTATTTCATAGTTCTGATCAAATTGTTATCATCAGTGATGTAATTCCAAGTGCGAAAAGTACTTTTATGGTTCTTTAGCAGTGGCGAAAATTATTTGTTTTCTATATATTAAAATTCTAAATTATTCTTGTACATCTAACTTTTGAATGTGAAATGCTTGAGAGTGCTTTTTCAAAGAAGTATTGATATTTCTATCAGTTTCACTTCACTGTACACTGAGCACTGCGAATATTATTGTATATTCAAAATTGAATTGAATACATATTTGTAAAAATTACGCTGTCACAATATTTGCTTTATGTAAGCTCAAATTCAGATGCCATGGTAGCACATTCACAGTTGTTGCATTAATGTCGAACAAATCGCATGCTTTGTCAGACTTCATTGCAGAGCTGTGATAGTTGCGTGGAAAGCGAAGCAAACTGCACTTTGCCACACAAATGAAAGACTCGTTACACTTACTACTAAAATAATTTGGCTCAAAAAGTTTATTTCAAAATGGCTAATTTTTGCAATTTGCTTTCAATTTGCTCATTTATTTTAAATTTTTGCACTATTTTTATTGCTTCAAATGGCAATATCCCAGTGCTGTAAGTTCGATCAATTTCTCGGTATTAGCGATTGAGTTTGACTTCGTCACTTTTTCCTCAAATTCAGTCTTCACGGCGAGCATTTACTTCCCCAGCAATAAATCACGCCCTCTAATCAAGGAACAACATATTTGCATGCAGTTCGCTAGCAACTGTTTTTTATTGAAATCTAAATAAAACTCTACTAAGAAAATTCATTATTATCAATGTTAGTATTGAATAAGTGACTGTTTTTACGATCTACACAATCAATTTAAGTCAGTAAGTTCCATTTTGTTGACTTGTTTTTTTATTCATTACTTCTTATTCAGATATTGCACGAATAAACACATTGCTTAAAAATTTTAATATTTCATAAGCATTTCGAACTAATTACATGTGTCCAGATGGCAGATAGTGAAAAATGGTTTGGGGCACAAAAGGTCAGATCAAACTTTTTGCATGGTTGTGAGATGCATTTGAAGAAGTGAATAAAAGTCTTTTAACGATTGAAGTTGAAGTTTGATGGAAATAATAGCTGTTCAGTACTAATTTGCAAAGATTTACGATGTTTTCAACAGCTTCTTCATTTAATGCGTTCTGCACGTGCATTCTTCACACCTCATAGGCGAATTCCAGTTTTGCTTAGTCTAACTTGATATTAATTATCAAAAATTTTCAGTTTAAATGCAATTTTTACTATTTTTTATTGCTTTAAACTGCAATATCACGATACTGTATGATTACAATCCATTGCAAATTTCTAAATATCCCATTTAGTAACACCATAACAAAATATCTGATATTCATCAAGTATATTTACTATGACGTGACTTGTTTTTTTTACTGTGATTACGCAAATCTTAAATTTGTAATTTTTTTATGCTTGGCGTTCCGGATTGTCAAGCTTATACTTAATTAATCAATTAAGCCATTTCTAATTTTTTGCATACTTATGCATTTTGGTGCTCAAAATTTAAGAGCAAAGGTGCATGATTTTTTTCCTTTTCATGTGCCCTATTGTGAATTAACATCAGCTTCCGGAAGGATGAGAACAACAAATGACAATTACTAAATGATAGACTCTAATTTATTAAAGGTTGTCTGACAATTTATCTTTCTTTACATTAGTTGATGGATAAAATGTGGAAATGAAATTCAAAAGAAAATAAGAGTCAGTACACTGTATTCAGATGCTTATCTTCCTCTAAATCAGATGGCAAATTTGATTGCAAAGCACGCGTAATCAAGAAATAGCTCAACGGATAAATAATTGTCATCGTATCCTTGCAAAAGCAGTACAACAAAACTACATGAATGAATTCTGGCATCGTTATCTCTACACGTTTTTTTTAACACCAAATGAATGAATTTTGTCATTTAGAATGTGTTAATTTGTAAGGAAAGTTTTTTGGCTTTACGCATTTATCATGTCTAGAACACCATCGCTCTCACCTATTATACCAACCAGGAGTGGTTATTGAAGCTTTTGACTGAAGCTTTTCACGCTGTATTAAACAGTGAAAATTATTTTCATACAGCGTTCCATAGCAATAATAAATTTTTCTCACATTTTGTATCTTAATTTAGCAGCATATTATCCATTGCATTTGTTGGCAGAACTTATTTTGAGAATTTGATGTTTTGCATTTTGTACTGTTTTTGCATGCTAAAGAATCATCTCAGACTTTGTCTCCTTCTGTCTATCTCTCTGTGATTTCTATATTTGGTCGACAATTCATATTCATCAGATTAGTGAGTATGACTTCTTTGATCACAGATCATTACAGTACATTAATCACATTTTGACTTCTTGCATTCAGGTTATTAAAATGTCAGCAATGGGAATGACTATTCTAAGCATCAATTCCGAGCTTTTTACCTAATTTACAATTATCTCCAGTTGACATCATAAATATGTTACTTATTTATCATTTCACATGTCAGAAGTAATTCGCGCACTTCTGATATGCTCCGTATGATCTCTTTCCTGTTTAAATTCGAAAATGCAATCTTGTTGGACATTGCTAGTTGCATTTTTCATTTTTTCCTTCAGCATGTCTGATTCTTTGATTCGCTGTTTATCTCCACGCGAAATGCTTTTGTCAAGTAATCGATTCGAGCGGTTTGTTTTTGGCTACATCATACCTGTACTTATTATGATCGGTTTGACGGGAAACATGCTGAACTTCATGGTTTTACTAGCACAACCAATGAGGAAACGGTAGTCTTCAGTATCACTTGTTATAACTCGAAGTGATTCTTTTCTTGTTTTAGTAGCTTACAGTTGTGGAAATCTTCTTAATCATTTACTTCTTTGTTTATTTACAAAACTATTACTAACTACTGTATTGCTTTTGAGACAAGTAGACCTATACACAATGTGAAATTGAGCTTGTATTAGCTTTGATTTATCTTACCTGAAGTACTTACTTGTATGAAATGATTTAACTGCTGTAGTAATTATGAAAGAGTTGAAACTGTAAGATAAATTTGAATCATTAATTCAGCTTGTTCAGGACGTGGCTTCTTTCTTGCTTGGCAGTCTGTGACATATTCTTCCTTTTTTTCATGTTGCCACACACATTGGCCCATTATGAACTGTTCACCTTCAATTACACATTCCGAGAGCTTTATCTCAGTTACAAAACCCATCTGCTTGCCTTCACCAATTGGGCATCTGCTGCTGCTGTTTGGTTTGTCTTCAGCTTTCATTTACTTTGAGGGACGAAACCAAATATACTTGTGCAAATTATTCATTTCACGCAATCCATGATAATCTGTGCTCTTAGCTTCATTGTATCATTTCTGAATTTATCACGAAGCTACTTCTATAATCGAAAAATTTCGCTAGTTCTTACCACTTTTTGTTAAGTCGTTCAGATTTTGATCAGAAAATTAAAATTAAATCTTATTCGAACTCAAATTGCAACAAGAATTTCATTTGAAAACAACATAAACGAATCGTTTCAAAAAATTTTGACTTCTAGAATTATCTTTAACTAACGGTTCTCTGCTAGTTTATTTGAAAGTTGATGCAGGATGGAATGACAAATTCTTCAGATTTTCATGATTTTCAGGTTGATTTTGTTTATTTGTTTCGAGCGCCTTATTGGTGTTCGTTATCCATTCTTGATTCGGCGATACGGTATTGATAGCACAGTATCCCGACAAGCACTTATCCTTTTTGTAGTAATGCTGACGGGATTTTTGACTATTTACATGCATTTCAGCTATGTTACAGTAATGAAGCCTTTCTGTAACAACACTCAAATATATGCATTTCACATACCTATTGGTGCAACAGTGTTAGTTATATAACATTACAATCTTTAGTCGATATCTTTTTAGTATTTTTTGAAAACAATAAAGAAACACAGTTCAAAAAATATGGAGTGTTATCTCTCATCAGATGGCCAGGAAATCGTACGAATCCAAGCCCATATTGGTTAAGAGAATTGATCTTATGGAACACAAGGATACATGAGTTACTTGTTGTTTTTATTCCTACCATTATTATTATCATTGCTAATGCTCTGTTAATAATAACGCTCAAAGCTAGAACAAAGTAAGTCTTTTCTTATACAGTACACATATGATAAGGTAAAAGTTGCGAATTCCTTATCACATCTGTAATCAATGTTCATTAATTGCAACCATTCAAGACTTAATTCTTTGCAATATTTCTAATTCTCCAAACTAAATTGGGTCATTAGTTCAAAAGGTAGGTTTGGAGAGCACAAAAAACAATGAAAATAATTTACCAAAGGTTTCCTGGATGCAGGCATACTTGAGGTTTTTTTTGAACTTCTGCCTCTTAACATCTTTCAAACAAGCTTTTTTTAAACAAACTCTTACTGATACTTATCTAGTTACTCTACTTCAGTCATAGTTAAAACCATCTTAATTTCAAATTCAGAAATGCACTGCTTCCATCGATTCATTTTTCATCAGCCAGAAGTTTGGGTGGCCTGACCAGAGTAAAAGCTGAACAGGTGACATACACAGTATGTGCTATTGTTACTTGTTTTACTCTCACACAGGTTTGTCCCACTTAAAATATTGGATAGGCAAAACTTCGTTTTCTGAAAATCTGACGGACAGATCATCTCTTTAGCTCTCCTTCATTTCTAAGTGCTTTTGCAGGCTCCATCAGGTATTGTATCTGCTAAATTGAGCTTTTTGGAATTCAGAAGTCCAATTTGGCAACGAAACATGGTTAGATTTCTATGATTTGTGCAGACAAAAACTTATATACATCAATCAACATCTTTCGGTAAGAACAAGAACAAGGAAGATATATTTACCTCCAAGAAAGTCCTTTTCAGCCTTTTCTAAAATAATACTACTTTCAAAAAAAAGATGATGGCTTACTAATATACTCAGGTTCAGATTGTGGTCACAAACTGTATGGTCGTTACCGGCAAATCGCTCAATTTTCTACTCTTCTGTTTGAGCTCCGCCACTTTCCGTCATCACCTTCACATGCTCATCAAAATAAAACTTAGTTATGTCATTAGGTAAAACTTTCATTTGATGATTTTTCTCCTTTTTTAATTACGATTCATGTATTATCTAACAAACTAATTTGTCTTTGCACATGGTGAATCAAACTAGCTACAAAAATACTGTATTACTATACGCAGTATCATAATTGACGTGAATTTCCCATTATATTCACTTTATAGCAGGAAAAAAGTAACACAAACTCAACAATCAAGTACATCAGCTAACGACAAATTGCAAGTGATCAAAAATAAGCGTATATCAAAGATTTCATCCGACACAAGTACACAAATGAGTTCAGAACGATTTACAATCATGCCATGATTGAGCTGTATAGACTACAAGAAAACTGCTGTTTACTCGGATCCCCATTCAATTTGTATAGAAGACAGAAATGGTAAAATTAACTAGAATGAGTTTAGCAACAATGGTACACTAGGCAAAATATGTGATGAAACAAAAGTATAAATAACAGACTTCTGATGTTATCCGATCACAAGTACAATTTATAAAGCTCTGCATGAAAAGCTTAACAAAATTAGTGCAGTATGATAAGTCTGCGTGTAGAATGCCACTGAGTACTGCTTTTTTCACTTCATATTAAAAAACTTGATGTTAGAATACATCATGAACACAACTAGGTGCTTACTATGAGATCTCACTACAATCATTTCTCCACACCATGAGAAAGATCTCAACAAATATGAAGGTAAAATTACTTTTTAGCTTTTGCGCGATTTCAGCAAACCGACACAACATATTTCAAGAATGCAATTTGACAGATTGCGATTGTATGTAATCCTTACCAACAAAAATATTAAATACTTTTCATCACAATATTCGAAGAATTTCTGCTATTTTTTTGCTTTTTTAATGTACTCAACACTAAATGATCAGAACTAATATGAATCATTTGATTACTTGATAATCCGTACTTTTATAAAACTACATTTCAGCTCTACTATTATCAATCTGTAGTTCACACAGACTATTCAAAAAAGTTCCCATTCTTATATGGCTTATTACACAAGAGCTCCGAGGTAACTGATTGCAAAGACATAAGGAAGCATCAATCTATTATCTATTTTTTTGCTTTTTACTAAAAGCTTTTTGATTTTTTCATGTTCCTTAATCTGCATCATTGACGATAATTATATGCTGAAAAACTAACATAGTACAAGAGTGAATGAAGCAATAACACTTTTTCGCTTGCAACAACTGGTGCCACAAGTCACTGACTTCTTGTATAAACACAAAAATATTTGTATTTAATTGCAAACAACAACAAGTCTATACGACTGACAAAATTATAAAAGCAACGAAACTACAATTTTTATCCGAAATAACTTTTTTAGCTTTCCTCTTCTTCATTTATAGTGGTATACAAGCATGTAAGGGAGAATTTACGTATGGAACTTATAATTTTTTAGAAATAGTTCAGACAAGAACAGTGTTCTTACATTTATTTAGCTGACCGAGTTTCAGCAACATTTCCTGAATGACTTTCTTTCAGTTCTAAATTCGTATCATGAATATTCTTGACATTTTCATTATCCACTGCATGTTTTGGTTCGACAATCTTGAAGAGGCCGCTAGCCTGAATTCGCACATCTTGGAACGGCCGTCCATCCTCATCCGTCCGCATCCTACTTCGAAGTTGACCACTTGCGTATACCTGTACACCTAAACATAACAGTTGCTAGAAATATCATAAACATGTCGTTTCTATCCTATAAGACTTAAAAAATTGAAACAATACAAGTAATTACTTTTCAGACATTCGGAATAATCATAAAATCTAATTAACCTTCCCGTACATGATCCTTAATGTAATCGACAATATTATGAGGCGCAAAAACATCTATGAAGGAAACGAACCGTCCTGAACCTCGACGATCAACTAAAATAAAAATTACATATAAAAATCACAGATGATTACAGTAAACACTGACTTTTTTTAATTTAGAAAACTTATATTATGAACTGTTACTCATTTTATAGTCAACAATCTATCATACCAGCTGTTGTTGATAGTTTTACGATTGCGTACTGTCGACCAGTAGGCATGGTATATACCCTTGGAGGTCCCCGAACAATGCCAGTCACTTCGATATGATTTTCACTATTATTAAAAAGGAAAATGAATGCAACAAGTAATTCAAACAACTGTAACAGATTCTCAAGATCTATTTGTACCACAATGACATTAACCATAAGATTATTTCTAATAATTAAGATTGAATGAAATGACTGATAAAATCCCCTATAGAGCAAAGTTAAGATGAAATTCCTTACTCAAAATTGTAACGCGGCTTTGACTCTGATTCCAAATCTATTCCCACAAAATCCTCAACCCCTGGAGGAAATTGCGCACTATCATCATTGATTTCTTCCATCGTTCTTTCACTCTGCGTTGTCATGGTTCTACCCGCATGCTGTGAGAGCAAAGCATTTGTAAAAAGTGATATTTTGATAGCAAAAACAACAACTCAAGAACAAAATGCCTGCTTAAAATAAAATGATTTTATTTGAGAAATGAAGAACTTAAATGTTAAAAACACCAAAGTCTCGTAGCTTTGTATTTCAGGTTTGCACTGAATACAGTTTAATATACTCTCAACTACTCAAGGAAGCAATTGGAGATTAAAAAATTGGCTTGAAAAACGATGCACAAGTTAGTGAAACTAAAAATTAGCTTCGCATCTACTAGACCAATGTTGCAGTACGGAAGCAGTGAGGACATACTTGTAATGCTTGCTTTTGTTGTACAAGAGGCCACCGCGTTAATGCCCTAGCAAATGATCGAAGCATTTTCCTAAAAGAACTAGAGAAGAATTTTAGAAACAAAAATCAAATCCATACACACCAAAGCAGTCACGAGACTAACCTCAGCGTGATATGTTCGCACACTGCAAGAAATGACACAATGAAGTAAATCATTATGGGTAGAATAGAATTGAAATTACTACTGATTGATGGGAGAGTTAAAAGTAACGGAAAACTGAAAACCATAACATAGTGTACGCAACAATCAGAGTAAGGTGTGAACTACGGACCTGTTAACTACTGCCTAAAAGTGGAATAATTAACAAATAATTAACATGCCAAATTCAAATGTAACACAGCGAAATTCTACGTAGTTATTAAGACCATTGCACGACCAGTTGCGTAATCACTACATGAAAGTTGACCAATCTGAAGTTAGGTTTCTTCCTTTCTCTGACTGTTTTCTGTAGCAGGCTGAGAGTGATGGAACGTGATGTTTCAAGTTTCGACGTAATATCTTCATGTATGAAGTCTGACGAAAACTCGTAGTGAGATAAAATTCCACATTATGCGTTAGGGCTCATCCAAGTGGTCAGTATTGTGTTTTCATTATTTGCAGAATTCCTTGAAATAATGTTGGGCAGGACATTACTCAGAAATTTACCTTGTCTATCCACTCAACAGGTTTGTGTTGTTCAAGTTAGAAATCATCAAGGGATACATCTGAATAATAAGCTCAACATTTTTTGTCTGCAAATTCATTTCAGTAGTGGTTAGAAAATGATTTTTGCTCTTTGCAGTATCTTTATTTGTTGTTTTGAAAAAATAAATGGAAGTGAATCCGTTGATTGAAGTATCCGTTGTAAAAAACTAGATTATCTGTAACTTTTTTATTTCATATTTTTTAGATATCAAGTCGATTGCTCACAGTGCAAAATAGTTTGCTACAGAACGCAGATACACAGTTCCACCCTTCATCAGACTCAGTCCATGAATTGCCCTTCGCATCAACCAACCGCAGGAAGTAGAACTTTTGTATGATCCTGAAATGTTATTGCTATGCATGTTTTTATCTTGTTGCTTCTTTGCATATCTTCACTTTCATGGCTAGAAATCTACGCAACAAGTGAAAAATTAAAGATCACTTATTAATATAGATTTCAGCATTAATCGGGTCTGCCTTAGTGGGACGGTCACAGCCAAACCGTTTTTTGGAACTTCTCGAAACGGTACTAAATTCGGAGTCATTCGGATTTGCTCAAACTCATTTGGGGGTAATTTTTGATATGCACATACACTCAATCAGACGAAGTTATGACCCTTCATTTAATTCTTTTTGCATAATACGAAGATTTTACATAGAGAAAATCAATGATTTTTGGTAAGAATGAAAATGGATTTTTTCGCAGGCCATTATGACTTTCGAGTGAGACTGGGAACGCGAACTTCAATTGCGTATTGCAGAGAAAATGTGGGAGAAGGTATGCTGTCGAGAATTCGTTTTTTTCAGATATCTATGTATAAAATTTATTTTCACTTTTTTTCTTTACATAGGGTCCCATTTGTTTGTGTTTGGTCGTTTGGCTACTTTTCCAAGAATCGCTGCGGATGGTACACAAGGTTCTAGTGGGACAATAATGGCATCTCGTATATCAGTGGAGAAGAATTCTGTTGTTGTTGGAGAGGAACATTTAGAGGATGATGAATTGTCTGTAAATGAAGAAGAACGAAGTGATGAAAAATAAATATTTTATTTTTATGACATTTGTTGATCATTTTTCAAAGTTTATGTAGTTATTGTTTTTTGAAATATTTTTTAAATAAAAAGCAGTTTATGCTTCCTTATTGTTGTCCGCTTGAGAAGTATCCACTAATAAACTGAAGTATTTAAACTTTTATACTTTGTTGTAACAAATAAGTCGTGAAGTTGCGTTATATCGATATACTGAGTTAAGGGAGTACATGTATGTCTGGATTTTCAAGTTATATTTTAGCAGAATAGAATTTCGAAATATAAATCCGGTGCAAAGTTTATCATGTAGTTTGGTAGTTCCGTGTGTTTATTATTATTATTATTATTGAGGTCATGCAATTAAAGTTCTTAACCGGAATAGGTATTCGCTTTAAATTTGTGTGAAGTGGTTCTTTAGGTTCTTAACGTCTTAGACATTCCATATTTTGTTGTACGCATCAAAACTTGCAGCTTCTAGAAAGAACATTCAGAGGCCAAAAATTATATTGGCTAGCCAGGTAACATCATCTTTTAACTCTAATTGCATGAGGTATCTCATGAATTGCACCTATAGGGATCTCAGATTTTCTTCATAATGTTGGAGTAGTTACGTACGTATGCTGCATCAAACTTTATGATGTCAGGTAGTAATTGAATTTAGTCAGTGTGATGGGTAGTTCTATAAATTATTAGGTGAACTGATTCATCATTATGTCGTTAGAAATATATCACCGATATGGAACGTTTTTTCAATTCCGCCCTATCAGAGAAAATTTGTAAATTGTAACATCTTATTATTTTTTACCTAATTAGTCGTATGAAACCATCATACATCACTTTCAAGGCGAGGCATCTCTGTTTTTTAAATCATTGCAGATTGTAATGTCGTCAAATCCATTCGATGATAATTATATTGACCCTAGTGTTTATGATGGTAAGTGCATTCATCTTGCAAAGAAGTATGTGACATTTTATTGAAATTTTTCAAAATAACTATTGAAAATGAAGTTTCAGAGTTGCTTTACTTCTGCATTTTGACGATTATAAGTTTAAATGAATATGGGAAAAGAATCGTTGCATCTTGATTTGCTTTGATTATTTTTGATAGCTTCACTAACATATTAAACATAAGCTTTCTAATTGGTACAATTTTTTTCTATTTATTGTATCGTAACTTTAGTTATTATAATTTATAAAACTCATTTGTTAAAATTTTTAATGCGTGTTAATGCGATGAAATTTTTATTATTGATGAAATTTGAAATACAACATCTCTTTAATTTGTAAGAGAAAATTGATAAAACGTTCTAGGACCTATAAAAAGTTACACAACTGTAACCGAAAGCAGTACTGATGGGAAATTGGATGACAGCATTAATTTTTATGAGCAGGAGTTGGAACTTTATATGCATCAGTCTCTGGACAGTACGCAACGGGCAACAAAGAATTTAGAGCAAAGCGAGCAGATCGGCATAGCTGCTGCTCAAGTATTGTTTTTCTTTTCAGTGGTTCTAAAGTAATGTTAGAATTTCCTGTTTGTGATAGATGATGCAGCTAATTAATTAAGGATTTAATCACACAAAGAGAAAAGTTAGAACGCACCGAAAAGAATCTTGATGATATTGATAAAACAACGAAGATGACTCAGCGTAATCTGAATAGTTTAAAATCTGTTTTTGGGGGTTTTTTCAAAAATAAATTTTCAAGAGCGCCCAAGGATGAACCACAGGTAGGACTTTTTCGGTCTTGATTTCATTTTTTTTAGAAAAGCATTTTATTACAGTTATTATGATAGTGATGAAGTCAATAAGAGTTAAAGAAATATGAACGGTTTGTTTTCTATTTCAAATCTGTTGTTCACAGTTGTAGTAAATTTGTTCATGTTGTCTGCACCTAATTACAGATATCACCATCAAAATCAGATTCAGTTCTCGGGAGTACGGTGGGTAAACTAAATATTTCTGCTAGCGCAGGTCATAATTATTCATATACCACCATGTCTGCATCTGGTCCAACACTAAGTGAAAGTTCACGAGCTGCTATAAAAGGAACACGTTGGGAGGCTATGGATAACGAGATTGATTCTAATCTTGGTAATCGGTCATATCGGTGCCATTGTATTGATTTTGAGTAATTTTCACTTGTATAACTGAGAAATTTTATTTTATTACCTAAAATGTATTGAGATTTAATGAGTTCCCAACTATCTCGTTTGCGTATGCTTGGTGAAGCCATTGGAGAAGAAGTTGAATCGCAGAATGAATTGTTAGATCGAATTCAGGTCAAAGCAGAAAATGCTGATACACGTGTTAAAGATCAAGATAAACAAGTTTGCATTCATTGTGTTTTTGTATCAGAACTCTGATCTGTAAATAAATCATAATTAAAGTTAGTTCATGAAATTTGTACTCATAAATTTACTCATTTTCAGATGAAAAAGTTACTTGGCACTGCAGATAAAGATGATTTGCAGTCTTCACTCCCGTCTGTTAGCAAGAAAAGGTAAAGATTAAGAAAGTGGTTTTGTTTATTCATTCACTATCTAAAATCGTCTGTAAAAAAGATAGAAAATTTGAACTTGGAAAGTTGGTGCTTGTTTTGATTTTTTAAACTAATTTTAGACTTATGTATAATGCAGTCAAAAGCGCTTTCTGAATTCCTAGAAGAACGTAATGCAGTTACTTTCTACTGGTACTTAGCTGCATTCTTTTTTCATAGAAAAGTACTATGATTCCAGTGCGGTGATTTTGTAAGCTTCGGTATTCAAGAAATTATTTGTCAGAAGATTTAGCCCTTCAGTTAGATACTGAACATTGATATTAATCCTTGAAAATGTTTGTCATGATAAATTACATACTTTTGCTTCTTTAGTATATTTCATAAAATAGCAATTATTGTAACATTTTGTTAATTCCATTGCTCGTTGTATTTCTGCATCTGAGCAGATTAAATTAGTGATGATTATGATTAACTGGTTGTACATTCATTGGGATTTATGTAAGATATATTTAATTTTAATGTACTAATATATAGATTTTTGTACTATTCACTGTATTGTTCTTTATCTAACTTTCCTGCCTATCCAAGTTGTGGTATTATCATATATATCATTAATTTCATTTCATTTCATTTAAATACTTTTTTTTCAAGCATTACCCATCAAAATTATTTTTCCATAACCGGAGTAGTGCCTAAGAAATGTCTTTTATGCGATAAATATGCTTGTGTAGATGTATTTCAAACAGTGATGTCGACAGTAGTGGAAATTTGTCAAGTAGATAAAACTTGATGTAGTTGACTTATTAGGCATGTTAGATATGAAATATAGCCAGCTATGAAATGAAGTAGAAACTTTTCATTATGGAGTAATTGTTACAGAATGTGAAGTAAAGTTAGCTTTAAAAATAAAATGATGGCTGGGCATACATATATTCACTTGCTGTCTTGCAATTGCTTAGTATATTAAATGATACAAGCTATGGACGATAAGAACTAACATAGTTTGATTCTTTATGTAAAGAAAGTAATGGTTTGGGCTGGTTGCTTATCAGTTCGGTCGCGAATTTTCTGCTAGGAAAGCGTAGCAATTGATGTCGTCAAGGGATTGCAGACAGTATAAGGTGGTTGTTGTAATGTAGGAAAAGTCACCATGGGAACAAATAACGTTAAAGTACCCACCAAGAAGTGCTTCAGCTGCTCGCATTATTTTCGTTTTCGCCTCTCGTACCGTTTGATTAGCCATATTCTATGATAATTAATGAGTAAAATGTTATGTGATATTTCTCATCTCCAGTAGAATTACTTCTCATTATTAATGTGATGCCAGCATTAAGAAGTTCATTTGTTCTTTGCAATAAATTCTACATTTTATGCTTCATTTCGTACCTTTTCTATTTAGATGAGGAGCTAGTAAGCTGGTACTTCTTGTCAGTTACCATTTGAATTTAACGACTATCTGTCCTCACTAGTTGAATACAGAAAACTAAACTGGTCTAAGGTTAGCTTTGTTTTCGATTTACAGATTAAACAGAAATAAACTTGACGTAATTCTTGAACGAACTTGTAAACGAATAATAAGCATTGCATGGATAAGTGCGTTCTTTCAAAATAAAATTCAGTTTCGTTACTTATTTTAATCACACATTTTAACTTTCAACTACTTTAAAGTTCTCATCCTATATTTCTATCTTTATACTGCATATCTGTTTCTGTTCAATTCATCTGTCTAATTACTAGACCTGGCATAAATATCAGATGCACTGTATATTTTGATTTTCAGAAGTTATTTTCTGTATTCTAGCTTGTTAAATTTACCTGAAGCATGATTTTTTGCAAACTGCCACTATTGCATTTTTGTTCATCGATGATTTCCACTTCTTCTCTAGTATCAACTTCGCGTCTCCGTAGGTGATGTTTTCCAATAGCAGACGTGACCGTTTCATTCCAGCAAGATGATTTACATTCTGAGGGAGGTGGACATTTACAGGAACGCATACTTTTACCATTCGATTGTGACATAGTCATTAAGACTATTAACATGAATAATATTATCTTGAACCAACGTCCAACGTTACTTTTCATCCTAAAAAATTTCTTTAATCTAAAATTAAAGTCACCACATCGAGCCGTGAAGAGAAATTAATACTTTTAACGTAATGTTTCTCATCCTTATTATGTAAAATATATGGCACTACTAAAAATCATTCATAAGACGGAAATAGGTATCGCATATATCTGATTTTGAAATAGATAAAAGATGGGGAATACTTGGCCGCGAAATTGCAATAAACAATCGTACAGTGTTGGCCATAAATGAAAGACGTAAAGCTTCAAATTAACTGCAATGGCACAAAACGTGATTATATTATATGAAAGTGTTATCTCTTGTATGCTCAGCAGCAGTGAACTGAGAGAAAAATACTAAAGTTTGGAAATGTGCTAGCATGAAGGATGTTTGAATTTTCACTGATATGCGAAAAGTTCAAAACAACAAAATTCAAAAATTAGTTATTCCGCATACAGCAGTAATTGGGGTTGAGAATTTCAAACTCAAAATTTGGTCAGCAGCAACAAAGTAATTAAAGTGAATATTTTCTGCGCAAAACATCTCATTGCTACCAGTATTTTTTTGCAAAGAGTTTGCACAGACAGTTTTTTCAAGCATAGGCATACAGAAATCACTGGTCAAACATGAATCGAACAGCATTCACTTTGGCATTTATCCATAGGAAGTTGGCAGGAAATTGTTCCTGTGAACTTACCAAAAATATTATGTCTTCCCAAAAAATTTGAAACCACGTCAGTCGTCACCAACGAAAACAATGTAAAATAGAGCATTTTCCACTGTGTTTCGTTTCTTTTCATTTCAGAATAAGTGTGGAATTTTTGTAAGACTGTTTGCTCAACAAAAATAACTGTTGTCAGAATTGCAGCAGTGAAAAAAGAATAAAGATGTTGCATACAAGAAAATGGATTGTTAAAGTAGAAGATTTAATTCGAAACGATGTAAGATGTGATTTCTAGGTCATCACCCGTTCATACCATCACTAGTAAATAAATCAAATGTTACGGTAAAAAATATAAAAAGCTTTCTTTGAAGGCAACAAGATAACTGCTGGAATTTTGAAGAGAAAACCAACTGGATTTTGCTTACAATTGAATTAATTTCGCTGGTATCGTTCTTTCTTGAGAACGCGAAATTGATACTGGGAAAAAACATTGCTTTGATCCCAACAAACAAGTTCTATTATATCAGTAGAATAGTTATCAGAAAATCCCTATAATTCTACGAGCACAACATCCCTCAAACGATCCACTTGTTCAAGAATTTTGAATTAAAAACGATTTCCGTGATGCACCGTTATAGGCACATTAATAATTTAAAATTATTTTGAACTCAAAGAATCTGAAGTATGCACCAACATATGAGCAACTATTGATCAGCAAAGTTAACTTCATTCATTAACTTGTGGAATTATTTG